GGGGTACTTGGTGGGTGGTGGGGAGGACATTCTCAGAGCTGCCACAGGAGGCGGGGCAGACCCACAGGCACTTTCTAGATCTAAAGGTGGGCAGGGAGGGTGCAGGGCGCAGCAGGCAGGTGGCGGCCCCTGGTGGGCACTGGCCAGTGCAGCCTGGGATTATTCTCACTGCTCCTTGGTGTCCAACTCCAAGACTCCATTGACCTTTTTTTCTTTAAAATATATCTTTATTGATTTCAGAGAGAGGAAGAGAGAGGGAGAGAGAGAGAGAAACATCGATGATGAGAGAGTCATTGACCAGCTGCCTTCTGCTAGGGACTGAGCCCGAAACCCAGGCATGTGCCCTGACTGGGAATCGAACCCCAATCTCCTGGATCCTAGGTTGATGCTCAACCGCTGAGCCACGCCTGGCCTGGCCTTCGTTTACCTTTGAGTGTCCACATATCTGTCCTGGGAGCTCAGGTCATGAGAATGTAGGCAGGTCTGCAGTGGGTGTAGAGAAGCCTCCCTGGCTGGGAGCCAGGCCCAGATTCAGGTCCTTGATTCCCAGGCCAGGCCTATTCCCACACGTCAGAGCAGCGGGAACTATGCAGCTCAGCCAGAGCGGCCTTGGTTGCCAAACTTCTAGGAATCAAGGTGCTGTATGAAAGAGCAGGCTGCCGTCAAAACAAACGCAGCAGCATTCATAAGCTGGGAGAGACTGTCGGCGGGTCACGCGTGCTGTCCGCGATGCTCCTTCACAGATCAGGTTGTGAAACCGATGACCTTAAGCAATTCCACGCAGATTTTCTTCTCTGAGCTTCAAAGACCAAGGCAGGGTGCAGAAAAGAGAAGCTCAAAGATGTTAGGCATAGAGAAAGAGGAGTGATCTGCTCATTTCCTCTCAAACTACAATCACAGGGACACTGTCACATCCATGGGCTAGTCCCATGTAAACTCTTGGTCCCCGGCTGATATCCCTCCCAATAAAGACGAGAGAGGCTGGAATGAAAGGTATAATGTAGGTGTTCCATACATTAATGTGTGTGTGTGTGTGTGTGCACACACGCATGCATGCACACGCTTTAAATCAAATGTTTACACTCATATTCTGATGTGGGTTGTATTAGTCGGTTATTGCTGCTATGCTAATGCTACATGAAAAACACCTCCCACCCCCCAGATCTCAGTACATTACAAAACAAATGTTTGTGTTTCTCTTTCTGGGCCTGTGGGTCGTGTGGGATAGCTATACTTAGGCTACAGGCCGGGGTCAAGCCTGCTCCCTGGCCCTTTCGTTCCAGGACCAGCAGTTTTGCCAGAACTGTCCTTTTCTGGAGTATGGTCAGATATATGTATCAGCATAGTTTTCCTCTGTTAGCCTTGCCTGTCCTCCAGTAGAGTTCCGTGGTCATCTCTCTTGGGTTGTATGGCCTCAAAGTGGAAAGGGGAGAAATTGAGAAACTGCCCGCAGGCTACAAAATGGAGCAGGAGGAGGCCCATCTTGCTAATTCCTACTCAGATTTTCCTAATTGCTACCAAGTGTGTCAGACTCCCCAAATTTCCACTCCTTGAGAACCTCTCCTTGAGTTACTATGGAATTTCCACCAATTCAAATGTGAATGTAATAATAGCAACTAAAATTTATATAGTATTACTGTGTCCTAAGCACTGTGGCATAGAGATTAAGTAACATGCTTAAAGTCACACAGTTGGTAGATGGCAGAGCTAGGATCCGAATCCAGGTGTCTGTGACCAGGTGTTGACCACAAAGTGATACAGCCACCCAAGGTAGCCACCCAGAGCTGGAACTAGAGTCAAAAGTCAGAGTCTAGTCCTACTTTCTCCATTTGGGCAGGGAGAGGCCTGGAGGTGCACTCAGAGGTGCACAGGGAGACATGGCAGGTCAGAGCGTCATGCTAAGGATGTTGGACTTCACCCGTGGTGCTGGGGAGTCATCACAGGGTTTAAGCAACAGAATGACACAATCAGATTTGAAAATTATCCAGGAATATGCAATTTCACATCCCAGCGTTTCTCCAAAGTGGGCTCAGCAGGTGTCTTCCTGCAGTTTCCCAGAGAGGGCAAGTCACTTGCCCAGGGTCACACAGCAGGTAGAGGAAGGTTTGGAACCCAGGTCTTCTCATCCCTCACATGTGCCTCCTTGGCTTCTCACATCCAGGTCTGCTCCCTGCCCACTCTACTTCTCTGTGCTCTCCACTTCTAAGACTGTTTGGGTCACCTACAGGCCTCATCCCAGCGGGATCCAGGAATGCAGCTGCCCTGAGGTGTGGAACCCCCCCCCCACGGTGTCCCTGGAGGCCGGGCACTGTCTGCCTTGTCCCCAGATGCTGTAGTGACCCCTGAGCACCCTCAACCCAGTTTCCTTTCTGCCCCTGGTCACAGTCAAGGCTGACACTAGCCCATGTAATGCCTGGTGCACTAATTAAACAATCCCTTCCAAGAGAACGTGACTGCCAGCTGCTGGAAGACTGTCGTAATACACTGCTTTTGTTAAAACAATTGACTGCCAACTGCTAGAGAGCTGTGTGAATGACATACAAAGCTACAGAACCATGCAAATAACTCTTAGAAAGTGGCACAACTAACATACGACATAGGATGTCCATGCAGTGCCCACCCCTTGTGTCGGCAGTGTGTCCTTCAGTGCTCAGTCTGCACAACTGTGCTCGGCACCCTGGGGTCTCTGCCTCTCCCCCCTCCTGAAAACCCAAATACTAGCCGAACTTTTGCAAACCCAATAGTGTTTCACACACTCTTATCAACTCCTGCTCTGCAAGCGGGATTCTCCATTTGCAAAAGACCCTTGTATAGTAAAGGGAACCGTCCAACTGGCTTTGGTGTAAATGAAGAGCTCCCATTTGGACGCATGAGGTGGGGCCTGGCTACTTGCTCAGGACTCCCCGAGGGGCAGGAAACTGTGAGGCTGTGAGGAATGTTCTCACTGGAAATAGGGGAGGCAAGTGCTAGATGAGGGACTTAGAAATGATGAATCTTGTCCTTTCTCTAGGAAGCTGTGAGCCGAGAGAGAAAACTGGAGCTGGACCAGGAGAGAACCTGACGACCCCAGGCCGAGCCGTCTCCCCACTGTTCTCAGATGCCTTCCCCTCACCCCTGGCTTTTTGGGGACCAGGATGACACCCATATCAAGCCTGTGGTGTAGAGGGTCCTGTTTCCCTGGACCAACACCTTCTTGTCTAAACATCCTCTCAGCTTCCCTGTGGTCCTTCCAACCTTTCCACTGCCCTGCTCTGGACAGACAGGGGGACAAGGACAGGAACTGAAAAGCATGTGGCACAGCCCCCTCCTGACTGCAGGGCTCTGGGCCGTCCTCCCAACCCCAGCCCGGGCTTGTTTTTTGACGTGGGTCAGATGGGTCCTGACCCACAGGATCTAGTCCACAGGGCAAAACTCTGGAGGGTCAGGCAGGGCTGAGCCACGGACACTTTCCTGTTTCCTGTGGTGTCAAGAAACCAGGTTCTCTTGTTTTGTCTCTCATTTGCACAGCCTACTAAAGGCTCCACCGGGGACCAGTGGGCGCCGCCTGGGCCGCTGGCTGGAACCCCTGTGGAGCTGCGCTGGCGGCCCTGGTCTTCCCTGAGTCCTGGGGTGGTTGGAGAGGAAATGGGGGGCCAGACATCCTGCCCCTCCCCTCCCCCGAACAAGGACAGACTCTGCTGTTCACACCAAGTGAAAATGTTCCACAAGGAAGACACCTTCAGCCTCAATTTCCCAGTCTGTCCAGAAAAGATGAGCCCCTCCACTCCCAGGGTGTGCGTGCGCTCCAGCCGCCAGGCCCAGGAAGGAGGCCAGGCTGTCCGCAGGCGCAGGTGCATTTGCCCAGCGGATCCCGGGGCGTGAAACCCAGCGGAGTGGGCGGAAGGCAGCCTGAACTGGGAGGCCCCGTGCAAACTTAGCCACGGAAGGTGGGGGCCCTTACGGCAGGGGGCCCGGTGGAGCCTGCGCGTAGCAGGACCGCGTCAGGGAACAGTCTATGCGAGCCCCCTTCAGAAGCTTCTGCCTGGAAGAACCCGATGTACCTCTAGAGGCCTGAGCAGAATCAAGTGTCAGGTGTACTTGGCCCCCTGCCTCCCCTGATTTTGTGGCCCAGACCACCAGGGAAGCGCCTGGCTCTGGGGAGCGGCCGCTGCAGGCCTTCCTTGGGCAGTGCCCTTGCCCTTGCCCTTCGCAGGTGGCTGTGTGCCCAGAGGCCTGAGACGTGGGGACCGGGGAGGGAGGTGCCGGTCTCGCACAGCTCAGGAATGCGTGCTCCCTGGTGTGCAAGGAGAACCGAACGTGACAGTAACTGTTTTAACTCAAAGCCCGTGTTCAGAGCCCAGCTGCTCTTATGCTACAGTTATAAGTATCAATAAATCCCCTTGTGTATTTTCCTTCATGTGGCTTAATTTCTTTTTCCCCATTTTGAGGTAATCAAGAGAATTGTTCTCGCATTAGTTCCAGGGTTGCCAGATAAAATACGGGAAGCTTTGTGAAGTTTGAATTTCAGATAAACAATGAGTGATTATTTAGTATATGTCCCAGTATTGTAATTATTTTTGTATATCTGACATTCAAATTGAACAGGGCCAGCATATTTTTATTTGCTAAATTTGGCAACTCTAATTGGTTCCTTTCTCTGTTTTATGATTTTTTAAAAAACAACACTAATGCTTTGAAATTGGGAGTTCTCACTGGGACCAAGGCCAAGGCCAGAACACTCTGGTTTTCCAAACAAGCATCTGAATGACAGTGGCAGTCCCACCCTCTCTGTGACCGACTAACACCCAAACTCGACCAGTTCTCGGCAGACCCCATTATCTCTGACTCACCCACTTAGCCTCCTGACGTCTCAGGGTGAGAAATTAGGTTAATTATGTCCTACTGTTATTTGCTCAACTTTTAAAAGCCTTTCAAAGCAGCAGGGTCTCCCATGCAGCCCAGTGTTCCTGAGGGAGGCCACCCTCACAGGGTGTCCACCACCCTGCATTCCCACTGGCACAAAATTCCCATCACCAGGGAGGTCCATTAGCACCCTGAGGGCAGGGACTGTGTCTTTTACATCAGACCTGGCACATGGTAAGTGCTCAATAAATATTGGTTGAGCCCGGCCGGGCGTGGCTCAGCGGTTGAGCATTGACCTAGGATCCAGGCGATCGGGGTTCGATTCCTGGTCAGGGCACGTGCCCGGGTTGCGAGCTGCAGCCAATCAATGACTCTCTCATCATTGATGTTTCTATCTCTCTCTCTCCCTCTCCTTTCCTCTCTCTGAAATCAATAAAGATATATTTAAATATATATATATATGTGTATATATATATTGGTTGAATATATGAATTAATGAATTAGACAATAATGGGGGCATTAAAACTGGTGCTCTCAGAGCTGGGCCCTGGCCTGTTTAGTCTGTGTAACCTTGAACCAGCTGGCTGTGTAACCTTGAACAAAGCACTGCCCCTCTCTGAGCCTTAGCTGCCTCACCGGGGAGATGAGGCTCATAATCCTGCCCTCTCATACCCTCCTCAGAGCATCCCCGTGAGCCTTCAGAGCTCGGGGAATGGAAATGTGGTTTGAAAAGTCGACAAGGGTCGCCTTCCTGGGGAGCCACTGGCAGAACTCCTATGCTATCTGAGAGGGGAAAAGAGGCCTTCAGTGACTTTCAGTGGAGGCCACATTTCCTAGACCAAAACCAGGCACTGTGTTCTGCCAATTCTATCCTGGTTCTGAGTGACAAGAGTTCAGGCATCAGAATTTAGGGACGAATGAAACAGATGACAGAGAATGAGGACTGGCCCACATTTTCCTGGACATACGTAAGAGTCACAGAGTTGTAGAACGCCAGGTGTGGAGGGCAAGTGTCTTGTCTCCAAGGTCATCAGCCTGTGGGCAGCGTCCCCTGAGGCCCAGCCCAGAACACTTTTTTCACTGCCTCAGCAAAATACCACGCCATGGATGGGACACCTGGAAAGCATCCAGAGAGGGTCCCCAGGCAGGGGCAAGGAGGCTGACCCCCAGTGGGCCCCATCTTGCCTCCACTGTGAATAATCCAGCTGAGACCTTTTTGCAAGTCAGTTTCTTTATTTGTCCAAATAACACAGTACAAAAATGAGACAGATGCCAGCATCAGGACTCATACCAAATACACAGAGCTTAAAGAACAGCGCTCCAAACGGGAAACTGTCCCGAAGGTCCCTGACCCCATCTAAAACTGATTGCCCTCCTCCACATTTTGGCGCTGTGCTCCTACACACCGCCGAAAATAAGTGCATAAATAGCTCGCCTCCCCCCACTTCTTAGCAGCAATAACACTAAATGGCTTTCAGAATATGCTTAGTGGCAATTGCTAAAGTTTGCCTCAGGTTTGAGGCCAGTCCAGTCTAAACGCCTAAGGCCTCTCTGTCCTGGGCTTCTCCACCCCAGTCCCACCCCAGCGCTCACCAAAGGGTCACACAGCGACAGTGTCCACCGAGTGTGACAAGACTGATTGCCATCCAGGTGTTAACACCCTCGCCCCTGTGACCATGTGTCCCAGGCAGTATCCGAGGGCTGCAGTCACAGCCCTGTGGGGCACGCAAGTAGCTGATGGCCATGTGGCAAGTGGCTCACCTGAGCCAAGCTGTGGAAACTGTTCAGCTGTGTAGGAGGCAGAGCCCCTCACAGCCCACCTCTCACCTTCAGACAAAAACAAAAGGAGGCCCCTTCTTAAGACACTTTACTGCCACCAGCTGAAAAACGTCATCATAAGTCTACAAATCCACAGTGTCCCCGAGCTGAGCAGCCTCCCTGGGCCACTGTGCTCTTGAGCAGGGCACGCCCGGGAACCCACGGTGATTCAGCTGGAACCTCCCCTCTCCCTTTCCTGAAAGCTACCAGATTGTGGCTCTAATAAAACTAACGACACGCAGGGACATGGCACTAGCTAACCTTCAGAACCCTTCACATTCATGTCTCACTGACTCTTGGCAAACGCTCAGGATGTGGGAGAGCTGCAAGGCATCGGCTTCATTTCCCTGGCGTAGAATTAAGGGACGCGGGGTTGCAAGGTTTCTGACACCAGTGGTCCCCAGCCCGCAGGTCTTCCCTGCCTGGGCCTGCAGAGTTCCTGGGAGGTGGCGACAAGTCCACGTGGGCTCGGTCAACTGAATGAATGACATGTTGCACATGGAGGCACATCTGTTTAAATGCATGTGGATGTTCTGGTGAGAGGTTAAACAAAATTTTACTTTTAAAACGAAGACTCGTTTAAAAGTAACATCTGGGAAAATGTCATCAGGTCTTCTCTATGATAGTGGCTATATTTTTAGCCATTTTTCTCAGTGGATAGAGCATCGGCCCGTGGACTGAAGTGTCCCAGGTTCAGTTCTGGCCAAGGGTGCACACCTGGGTTGCAGGCTCAATTCCCCGGCCCCGATAGGAGTTTGTGTGGGAAGCAGCTAGTTGATGTGTCTCTCTCAGATCGATATTTCTCTCTCTCTCTCTCTCTCTCTCTCTCTCTCTCTCGCTTTCTCTCTCCACTCTCTCTGAAAAGCAATGATGAAAAAAATATCCTCAGGTAAGGATTAAAAAAAAGAAAATACATGCTGATAAAAATATAAGATTAAGGACTTAGTAACTCTTAAATGAAAGTAAAAACCAGGAGTGTCACCCAAGGGCACGTAAGTCAGCACTAGGGTTGTCCCCAGAATGCAGGGCTTTGACCCCCAGGCTAACACTGCAGACCAGTGCTTGTTGAGGGAGCTCCCCGGCTTCCTCCCTGACCCACAGCTTAGAGGCAGGATCACTGGTTGTCCAATTCCAGCTGAGGAGCAAGGCCCCCCCAGGAATGCCGCCTGGATCTTGGGACTTCTCTGCCTTTTTNTTCCAGCTGAGGAGCAAGGCCCCCCCAGGAATGCCGCCTGGATCTTGGGAGTTCTCTGCCTTTTTACTCATTCATTCATTCATTCATTCATTCATTCACTCATTCATTCGGTGAGTGTCTCCAGCTCAGTGGGGACGGTATATTTAGCCACAGAGTAGAAGCACTCACTACTCCTCTTTAGACAGATTTCAGCAATACAGAACCAGAAGGGATACAGTGAGTCACCTCCAGCCCAGAATCCAAGGTCTGGAGAGGACAGGGGACAGGCAGGGCCTTGCAGCAAGTCTGAAGCAGGTCGGCAGTTGGAGCCCAGCATCTCCTAACTCCCAGTCCGGCGCTTATTTCTCCCAGCGCAGTGTCTGCCTCCCGTGCTGTGGAAGAATGCGTCGTGTGTCCTCGGCAAGCCCACGGGGATGTGAGGACACAGATGGCTGTCTCCTCTGTCTGCAGCCGTGTCTGCGAAGCACTGAATTGGGACAGTCATGAAGCATCTTCAGGGTCCCCTGGCTAAAGCCACTAATTCTTTGGCTAGTTCAAGGGCACTTGAGTGCAAAGCACAGCTTTCAATCTGGACTTTGGACATCAGGACTTGTGATGTTCTGGGAGGAGAAAAAGAACATAGGTTTTAGCCAGAGCCCAGTTATCTGGTAACAACAGCCGTCTCATTAATCCATCAACACACCATACTCGCTCCCCCTCTGCGTCTTTGCTCGTATGGTACCTTCTGCCTATGGTGTCCTCCTGGCCCTTTCTCCCCATCTGCAGCCTCTCTGTTCCCAAAAGTCAAAATCAATGCCTGCCACCTCCTGGAAGTCTTCCAGAGCCAACTTGCTTTATTGACCTCAGTTACCACTAATTTGGCATTTAATTGATATTTAATCTTGTCATCAGTGATCATTCTGTATTTTCCACTGGCAGAACCTTCCACAGGCCCTCACAGCACCTAGCACACTATTGGTTAAATGAATAAATGAATGAATGATAGAACCAGAGGATGGAGTTAGGGCTACTGAGGATGTCGGATCTGATGTTTCTGTAATATCTCTCACAAAGAACTCAGATCACTCCATAAACTATTACCTGACCCATCTTAGAGGGCAAATTATCTGTAATAGCCCCATTCTCCAGGAGAAGACAGAGAGGCTGAGTAAAGAGAGGTCTAAGGTCTCAAGGAGTCCTCACCAGGAAAATAAGCCAACGTTGTGCAGAGCATTCGATTAACAATGTACAAACATCATGAAGTAAGACCAGCTTTCCTGTAAGGCTTAGCCATGGCTTCCAAAGGCAATTAACTCAGAGAGGAAGACAGAGTGTTTGAGTGATGGCGACATCATTGCAATCACACTCTGGTTTCCCAGGGGACCACTGGGATGTAGAAGTTCTGGTTCCATGTGTCCAACACCACAAACAGAACATTTCTGTCCTTTAAAGTCACACCCTCGTTCAGTAGCTTCTGCTCTATAGGTCTGGGTCCAGTGTTTGTAAACAGGTTATCTTAAGTGGATTTGAAAGGGGTGGGGGAAACTGTTTATCAGGGTCTTCCAGAAAACATGTGAAAACTCAGATTTTTAAAAAAATCAGTAATAAGTATTATTTCCAAAGGGACCATCTCAGAGCCTTGGGGGAGGGGACAAAGTATGAAAGCAATTGCTCTTCTTAATGACCAAGGTCTGTGAAGGCTCCTTCTGGTCTACCTCCACCATCTCTTGCTTGGTATATAATCTTACTTAGCTTTGTTATTTAAATTTTATGACAGTCTCAAATTGGGGAGCCAAGCAGCAGAACCCATGAAATAATACAATAGCAACTAAGATAGCAGTCTGTCCAATGTTCCACACTGATATCAGAAAGTATGAGAATGCACACAGTTAGGGACCAGAGCCGGATAAAGAAGATGCTAGTCATCAGGTAAAGCCAGTGAGGGTTTTGGGAAAGAAAAAGGTCACGGTGGTGTAGAATTGTCTAGGAAGGCCTCAGCACGGGAGTGGCATTTCAGCTGGACCCCAGAAGTCCTGGACTAGGCAGGGAGAGCAGGGGTCAGTAAGCAGATCCTGTCGTCACTTGTGCCACATTGCCATTTCTCACCTGCTGGGCCTCCTTGCATAGGAACTGGGGGTAGTGCAGACCCATCAGGCTGAGGGTGGCATGACAATTTTTGCCAGAAAACTTGTTAGCCAAGCTGAAGGCAAACTGGTAGGGCCTCTCGGTGAGGTCCCTGTGGGGCTCCAGGGAGTGGGTGCCCCGTCTGCGCAGGGTGGCTTCCAGCTTTATGAGGGAGGAGTCTGGGAGCTGGTAAAAAAGCTTCTTGAAGCTGGGGTGTCGCCTGATCTGGAAGCAGAAACGAAGGCAGGCCATCAGTGTCGCTGGCAGGTGACCCTCCCACCCACAGCCTCCCTCCAACTCTACGCAGCCAGGCTCCAGGGTTCCATTCCTCCGCCACCCACAGCCACTCAGGATCTGTCCTGCAAGGTCCGGCTGCAAATAGCAGGACAAACTGGGGAAAATGCAGGCCTTTGGACCCAGACAACCAGGTTTAAATCGCATCCACCACCTGAGTGGCCTCTCTGAGCCTCGGCCTGGCCATGTAGAAAATGGGGAAGTGATACCCCACCCTCCTGATTTGATTACTGTTGGGGGAGGGGCTTAAGGAAGGTGGTTTATGCAAAATATTTTGTTAGCGTAGATGCTGATGAATTTTAGTTCTCATCTAAGCCTCTTCCTCTTAATACCTAAATGTCTTAGGTATTGATGTCTTAGGCCCCTCCAGAGGCCACCCCAGAGACCAGGTCCGGGGTGCAGCTCCTTTATGCCTAAGCGAGAGGACCTGGGGCCTGTATCCACCAGGTCCCATCAGCCGCCGGTGGAGGGCAGCTCCTGGGGAGGCAGAGGGTGTTCATTCCAACCTACCTCAGGGGTGGCAAAGTGGCTCTGGCAGCCAGTTCTCAGGTAAGAGGATGCAGGTGCTGGCCCAGGGGAGATGGGCTGGGATACACTGTACTGCCAGGTACCTATAGCGTCCGCCACACTGTCACTCATCTGTGACCTGCGCTCACACCTGATGGCCCCTTCCTGTGCCATCTGTGTTTGTCACTCCAGTAGACTGTGAGGTTTTCAGGGGCAGGGAATCATCTCTTTATAGGCTATCTAGCAGGGAGGGAAATCTAAAAGCTTTAAAGAATTGGAGATCAGATAGATGCCAAAGGGTGGGCCAGGGCCTCCCCCAATTCAACACCATCCAGACTCAGGGAAGGAGGCTTCCTGGGAGGTGGGAGGTGGGAGGTGAGCTGAACTTCACGGAGGACTTAGATGGAGGAGGTCCTGGCTGGCAAGGGAGCTGCACAAGCTTTATATTATTTTAAACTAGCATTTAACTCATCTGCTGCATGTGTGGTGTTTTCTATATATATGCTAAACTTTGCCAAGCAGGTATTTAATTCTCCATTTTGCAAAAGAGGCAAGCGAGGCTCAGAGAGGTTAAGGGACACACCCAAGGTCACCCAGATACAGAAATGGGGGTTGAACTCAGGCCTCAGCTGTGAGTTGATGAGACTCAAGAGTTGGCCTTGGGGGGACTGAGTCGTCCTTACCTGCTTCCCCAAATGGCCATCTATCCCTTGGAGAAGGACCATCAGCTTCTGGATGATCAGCTCCTCTAAGGCAAATAAAGAAGAATTGAGAGACTGTTGATAAGTTCTGCCGTAGCACATCCATGGATTACAGACTATTTTGTCTCTAAAGCACAGCACACAGATCAGTTATGAAGGGCAAAGAAGCATCTTCCCCAAGCTGGAGCTGGAGCTGCAGCATGAGAGCTTTGCTTGGGTTTGCTTTATAGAAATAGAAGGGACTTTGGGCTGGGCTCCACATGTAACCATTTGACAGATGGGAAAACTGAGACCTCCCAAGTCCCTTATCCAGGCTACAGAGTAGCACTGTCAAGAATGGGAGTTGGGACCAGGAGCAGCTCATCAGAATGCTGGGAGGGGAATTTCATGGCTACCGATGGAGCAGGAGTGTAGCCATCAGCCAGGGCTATAAACAGTGGTATGCAGGTGGCCGCCTGTACCAAGGGTTCATTGTAAATGCTCAGGGAAATTGTGGACCCATTGTTATAAACTGTTGGCAGCTTGAGATTAGCCAGTGGAGATATTTATGCCACAGAAGTCTGCAAAGGCTACAGAGCAGGGCTTCCCTCTTGACACCCCACCCAGAGCTGCTTGCCAGTACACCTCTCATTATGAGACCCAGAGCAAGCTGGGAATTTAATGAAATATTCAAGCAAACCAGTGGGGTGGGGGGAAGTTACATCCCGTATAATAGACAGGTGCTCCCCACCTCCAACTCCGCCCCAGCAGCCCAGCTGTAAGGTCACCCCTCACTCCTCCCTGCCCCTCGAGGTCTCCTGGATATTTGTCAGCTGCCTAAAGTTCCCTACTCAGGTCCAGCCTGTGAAATCCATGGGGCACCATCCCAGGTGAGAGCAGGAGATACTAACTAGATTCATGTGCTCCATCCGGCAGAGGTCTCCCTTCCGGCGTGTGGCCTCTGGTCTGGGAGGGTGCTTCTGAGGACCCAACTTGTCCCCCTTCTGCAGGCGAAGAGTCCCAGATCTCAAGACCCTCTGGATCTAGGGTGAAAGGAGCTGTGTGAGTGTGTTTGCACCTGTCAAATCCACAAGCCCATCACTGCGCCTAGGTTCTGACAAGCAGCTATCCAAAGGCACTGGCACGAGTGGGGCCCTGGTTTTCCAGGCTCCTGGGTGAGCCCCCAAGCCCCTGGGCCCACCTCAGAGTTCACAGGACTCCATTTGCCCCTCCAGAAATCTCATTCTTTCTTCCACCAACCCCCTCTCCCTCCTCTCTGCCTGGGAGGAAAACAAACAGGCCTGCCAGCAGGTCCCCCAGGTGAATTCACTTCCCCTTTAACTCTGCGAGGCTCTGCGGACTCAGCCTGTCGGAACCTCACTTTCTCCATCTGTTCAATGGGGGTAATAAGACTGGCCTCGCAGGGTTGTGAGCTGGTTACATGAGCTAACGTGTATGAAAGGGGCATGGAGTATCACTCCGTAGATGTCAGAATCACTGTATGCCAGCGGCCCGCACACTCCGGTACAGTACAGAGCCGGCCCAGGGCATACCCTCCTTCATCAAACCTGGCTCTATATGTTTTTCTGTTAGCTTCCAGGTGATTCTGATGCACTTGTCCAAAACACAGAGGCACTGTTCTCCTACCACACTTGTTTTAAAATGTTTGCGTGTGTGTGTCTGTGTGGTGGGATGTGGGGAATGTGTTGAGAGCGGCGGGTCCTCCAGCAACCCGCCCCTCTCTTCCCCGAAGTCCTCCCACACCTCTCATTCTGCTCCGGGCCCAGAGCAAAAGTCAAGACTGAACAGGAGGCCTTGCAGCTGGCCAACCCCTGCCCTGGAGGAAGGGGGGCCCCCCCAGGCAACCTGTTACCGTGGCAACCCCAGGCCCACTCACCAAGGCTGCTGGAGATGGAGGGCCGATGGCCCCCGACACACAGGGGCAGATAGCTGGGCCTCTTGGGTGGCCGGGACTCGGGGCTGGTGGCACCTGCAGCCCCCACTCTCTTGGGCTCCTTGGAGCTGTGTTTCTTATGAGAAAAGGCTTTTCTGAAGCTGGACTTTTTCTCTTGGGATTTCTTCCTGCAGGGCTGGACCAGGTTTTCTAGAGCCCCTTCTAGCTCCTGGACTTGAAGTTGCTGCCATGAGATGAGAGAGAATGAGTCAGGGCCCTTGGCTTTGAGGAAATTGCAAGTGAGCTGGGGAAAGGGACCAGCAGCCCCTGAAACCAAGAGACCTGCCTTGGCCCAGAGAGTGTGGCCCAGAGAGAAGCTACTCTGACGCTCATAGGTGGGACAGGGACCGTGCCCTGGGGCTGCAAGGCAGGAGGAGGGAGCAGAGCAGGGCTCCTGCCAGGTGTAGAACTGGGGGAGGGGCAGGCCAGTTCGGCCAGGCCTCGCCGGGGGTCCAGAGTGAGGGCCAGGGTCTCTGCGGGGAATGCCCTCCTCACCTCTCCCTCCTGCTCCTCCTCATCTTGGAGTAGGGTGATGATCTTCTGGATAAATTCTCCTAAAATGAACAAAGTGCTTGCTTTCACTCTGGTGCACATCAGAGCTTTTCTATGGTCATCCTTCATTTCCTAAGGCCTGGGTGGGTGATTCTCACGGGTCTCCCAGGTGCTTGCATGTGTGGCTGTCCCAGGCCTGGCCCAGGGGAGTCCCAGCTTCCTGAGGCGCGGCCTGAGGGCAGGGCCCGTTTCAAGGGAACATATTCATTCATCCATTCCCCAGCCAGGGCCTAGAGGTGCTGGTTAGGTGTGAGGAAAGCAGCACAGGGCCCTTCCCATTCCCATTCAAGGCACATTTTTGGTGAAAGGAAACAGGCAGAAGGGGGTGGGGGAGCAGATCTTTAAGAGCATCTTCAGACCCACGGAACTACCAGTGATGATTCTGAGCTCGCTCCGCCATGAGGACACAACAATCGTGAGGCAGCTACCATTTGTTGGGCTTCCCTCCTGGGGCCCCTGCCCCTTCCCATCCTCTTTGCTCTTCCCGGGGCTCTGAGCAACCTCAGCAATAACAACAAATGACAGCTAGCACTTATTAGCTGCTAAGGAGCACTGCTCTCAGGGCTTTATTGGCTCTCATTTGTTTAGCACCTCCACAAGCTCTGTGAAGTCGGTTCTATTGTTATTCCCATTACACTGATGAGAAAACTGAGACCAGAAAAGCAGCAGCTTGTCCAAGTTCATACGGCTGGAAGAAGTCAGAGCCCAAATTCAAACCCAGGCCCTAAATCACATCCTCTACCCAGCCTGTCCTGTGGGCCGATGCCTTCTTCGCAGGGCCTATGTTGTGTCCCGCCCCCCCCCCGGGGGGGTATTTCACATGCGTGGAGGCTCAGACAGGGTGACTGACAGCAGTGCGGCTGGGTGCCTGTGCTGGGGACCCCACACTGCCTCCCCAGCCTGCTGCACTCAGAAGGTGGTCAGGACAAGTTTCTGCCTCTCCCTGGCTCAGTTTCTCTTCTGCAAGGGAGGGGTGAGGCCAGAGACAAGGAGAGAGGTACTCACTGCATTCCGAGGCTCTGTCCGGCTGCAAGTCCTCTCCAGGCCCCTGGCTTCCTGCTTGGGTGGACGGCTCGAAGGGATGTAGATCCCCACAGTCTGTAGACAAGGCCTCTTGGACTTGAGGTTCTTCCAGGTCTGAGAAGCAAAATGAAATGGTGAGCGTGTTTTGTTAGCCTGAGGCTGTTAACTACTGCACAGAAGTTAGCAGAGCCTCCACGGTAGGCCCTGTGGCCAGATCACGCTGGACTGAGCAGGGTGGTGAGCCCAGGGGTAGGGGAGCTGCTGGGCAGGGCCTTTGTACTCCCACACACCTGGCTTCCTGGGCTTTGTTCCCTCCACTCCCTCCCCTCGCGACCTCACCCCTCCACCAGCTTGGCTTGATCCACTAGCTGGAGAGTAGATGCCAGAGAATGAATTAACGCACTGGGCCAGAGTCCCCTGCATGAAAACCCACTCTTTGGTATAAGGCAGGGGTGGGGAACATCATTTGGCCTGCCCCTGCCAAGGCAACCATGGGACTCGAAATTCAATAAATCTAGGAGCATTTTTCATAGCTAATTTTCAGGCCGATAATTTTGTACGGCCCACGAATGATGTTATAAATATCCAAATGGCCCTTGGCGGAAAAAGCGTTCCCCACCCCTGGTGTAAAGCATTGCCCCTCCTTTTTAAAATGTAAGTTACCCCGGCCAGGCAGTTCTTCCCTGACACCCAGGACGATCCTTTCTCCCTCTGTCTCTGGCTCCATCATCGGCTCCATCATCGATGGGCCATGACCTTGAGCCCTGTTTTACCTCCCTAAGTATCAGTTCCTTCGTCTGTAAATGGAGGTAATGAAATGGCTGAGGGCTGATGGCGGATAGGTACACAGGGGGTAAGTGTCCCATTTTATAGGCGAGGCTGAGGCACAAAGATGCAGAATGACATCGAAAGTACAGCTCCCAACACAGGTCTCCTGCCTCCCAGTCGCATTTCCTTCCTGTGCCTCCCCACTGCCAGGGTGTGAGAGCTGAGGCTGCAGGGAGATGCGGACAACTGGGGTCCCTGAATACAATTTCCATTGGGGGCTTCTCTGGGCTGCCTAGCCGGTGAGGTGTTGCATGTGGGGGGGTGGCCTGCTGGCATCCCTCTTCTCCTCCCCAAGGCCCCCCCCCATGTGGCTCAGGGAAGAGAAAAAGTCAGCTGGGCTGGCTGCCCTTCGAGTGGCCAATGCCAACCCTGGGGAAGCTTCCAGAGCTGGAGGCAGCTGCAGTATTGCTGTAATGGTGAGCCCGCTCACCAAGGCTGTTGGAGATGGAGGGCCGGTGGCCCCCAAAACACAGGTACAGGAAGCTGGGCCTCTTGGTCGGCCGGGACCCCGGCCTGGGAGCGTCTGCAGCCCCCGCACTCTTGGGCTCCTCAGAGCCATGCTTCTTATGAGAAATGGTTCTCTTGAGGTTAGACTTCTCCTGGGATTTCTTCCTGAGGCCTGCTGCCGGGTTTTGTGGAGCCACCTCTGGCTCAGGGGCTTGAAGTTGTTGTGGGGGAGATGAGAGAAACTGAGTCAGGTCCTTGACCTGAGGAGAGAGGAAAGCTCCCTGAGAAGCAACTCAATAGCAACCAAGGGCTTCAGGTGTCCCCAGGCAAGGGAGTGACAGAGCCTGGGGCAGGGGAGCTGGGAGGCCTGAAGGACAGGTAGGGCAGGCAGAGGGAGGAGGGGGGAGGGAAGGAGCAGGAGGGGGAAACATCAAGCCCCCGGGGACCTCCACAGGCGGCTCCTCACCTCCCCTTCCAAATGGTCTCCCACGTCTCGGAGCAGCTGCACTATCATCTGGATGATAGTATCCTCTGGAAGAAAGTGAAGGGACAAGTTAATCTTTCCAGATGCACAGAGAATACTTTCTAATGACTGTCTTGGACTTCTGAGACCAACTTGGGCCTCCTGTGTTAAACGAGGGTCCCCAAAATAGCTCCTTAGGCCACAGATGTGGTGGAAAGCACCACATCCCAGGGGCAGGTCCTCCTGAGAGAGGGCTGAGAGGCCCGCAGGGGAGAGGTACTAGGCCAAAGCATGACATCCCAGGCAGGAAACATGAGGTCAGTCTTTTGAGCGTTTACCTCGTGCCCCACTATTTCCTTCCAATCTGCAAAATGCCAGTCGGAGAAAAGGTAGAAATGGTGGAGGCCTGGCCTCTGGTGGGGTTAGAGGGCGGAGGGACTCCAGCCCACGCTACACAGGCAGCCTGCCGCAGCGATGCATCAACTACACTCCCAAGTCTTTGCGGAGAAGCCACAGCAACATTAGTGGCTTTCCTTGCTACCCAGTCCACCTCCGCAAAGACAGTGTGCCCAGGGCGGCCTCCGCTAGCTGCTGACCCGCCGGTTTACACCGAAGGAGGTGCACACGAGATTCCCTGTGCCAGGGCCTCCAGAGACTGTTTCTCCCTTCCCTCCCCTCCCTCACTTCTCTCATTTAGAAATCCTGCTTGGCCTTTACTCCCTGACTCAGTCTACCAGCGGATTCCTTTCATATCTTTCAAAATATGCCCATTCTTTACAGGGAATTAGATTAATGGAGCATTCTTGATTTTATTAGGGGCAACAACAGGATTGTAGTTGAGTATGAGACTGTCCTTATTTCTTGGTGACCCGCACTTAAGTATTTAAGGATGAAGCATTATTTTACTTAAAATGGTTCAACAACAAACGTATACACGCACGCACACACAAGCACAAACGCAAAGCAAATGGTCAACTGTTAACAACTGTGTGTATATGAGTATGCACAGAACTATTCTGTCCATTCTTCTATGTATTTAAATATATACACATAAATTCTATATTCCTTTATTCTAAATTCCTTTTATGGATTTAAAGAGACTAAAAAGTCCCATGCTCATTAACTCATAAGCAGGAGCATTTGCCAGTGGCCATTCTAATTCCTGAGACACCCTACTGTGAAACTATGAAATAAGCAAATGTAGCCAGAAGCACCAGAAGCTGCAAGATCAGTACACGCATTTTGGGAGCGACCAGCTGAGGCCTAAGCAGCTGTCCAGGGCAGTCACCCAGCTGCGCCAAAGAGGAGACAGTAGGTTCTGACTCACGGTCAAGCTTTTTGAGCTTCTCAACCTGCCAGTGGCCTGTGGCTTGCGAAGAAGGTTCTGAGATGCCAGCATTCGGGCCCTCGAGGAGCAAGGACTGGTGGAGATCAGAATCCTCCCCGCCTGGAATAGAGATGAAAACAAGTGTGGGTGCAGCGGGTAGGGGTATGTCAGTGACATTCTTCTGACTTTGTTCATTGACGCTAGGAAACAGCACGGAATTCCCAGCAGGAGGGTACTGCTGTAGCCAGCTCTAGGCCTAACCAAAAAATCAGAAACACACCAAGGTTTCCATTTGAAAAGAGGCTTCCTCAACCCAGACCTCCTTCCCCCACCCCCAAAGTATCCTGGGTCTTCCTTGAGTCTCTCTCTCCACTATAACATGGGTCTTTGGAAAGCTACAGGGCACAGCTCCACCTCCTCCAGGTGCCTGCGAGGCATTCATCCCCAGGACACTGAGTCAGGAAAAGAAGGCACCTCTCGACCAGCTCCCTCACTTTACAAATGAGGAATCAAAGGTTTCAGAGAGGGGCAGCAACTTGCTCAAGATCACACAGCAAGTTTCTTCCTGATGGAGCCAAGCCTAGACCCAGCACCCGAGCAGCTGGCCCTGTCCACTTCCCTGACACCCACCCCCTGTCCTCACCTGTGGACCAGTGCGAGGATAGGACTCCCATCCTCGCCTCCCTCCCTGCCTCCCATTTCTCCCTGGTCCATGATCCTCGAGCTAGAGTACTTAACAAGAATAGCTATCATTTACCGAGCACTTTCCAAGTGCCAGCTCTGGGCCACAGCCACCCTGTGATACAGAAACTGTCATTATCTCCATTTTATCAGTGAAAAAAAAGTAAGGCTCAGAGAGGAAAGTCACCAGCCCCAGGTCACACAGCTAGTTGGCGGTGGAGCTGGGGTCTGGCGTCGAGCTCTCAGCCCGGGGCTGTTCTGACAGCCGTCCTACCTTCCACCCCCTCTGTGGAGAGGTTGGAGGAGCCAGCTTAGAGCACCCTAGCCATCAGGGTGGGCCACTGGGGTTACCATAGAAATGGGAATGGTCTGCTCACCCCTGGGTCCCGGGCCCAGGTCAGTCTCCTGGGACCTTGAGGCCATAGCCGTCGGGGGCGGCACTGCCTCTTGGCCTTCGGCTTCCTGGGCGTCGGTCCCCTTGGTTTCCTCATCAGCATGTTTCTTGTGACCGTGTTTCTTGCGGCCCCCCTTCTTGTCATGGGCTTTCTTCCTGGGAGATGGCTGCCCGGGCCACTCGGAGGTTTCGGCAGGCTGGGGGAGGCCCTCCTTCCCCTTCGCCCTCCTGCTGGCCTTGTCTCTGGTCTCCTCCGGGCCTGTCCTCAGAAAGAAGTTCAGTGCAGTCTTCAGCCACCCCTGCTGGGTCCGACTCTGTGCCTTGTCCTTCTTGGTGTCCCGCAGAGGCCTCTGCTCACTGTGGAGAAGCTCCCTTGTCCCCTCCGGGCTGGGGGCTATGCCCACGGTGCCTGGAGCCTCTGGAGACACTGGGCTCTTGGGACGCCCGCTCCTGTCGCTGGCCCTCCTGGGAGGTGCCTGCCTGGAAGGGGTGGCAGGCAGGGAAAGGCACTGGCCCTCCCATGACTCTGAGTTCTTCCTGGGGTCTTGTGACCTGTCCAGAGACCTGGCTCTCCTTTGTGACAAAGGCTTCCTCGGGCCCCGCGGAAACTCCATTGTGCTACAACCAAAGCAAAGAGCTCCCTTAGAAGAGGCCTGCTGACTGCTGCCCACCCACCCAGCCCGCTAACGTGGGTGATCTCAGCTCTCCAAGCTGTGGTCCCATTTTCATCCTTCAACAACCCTAGGAGGGCGGGGTGCCCTTGTCCCCATTTTCCAGAGGAGGAAACTGAGCCACAGGAGGTCGTGGCCCAGATCTCACAGCGCCCTCCTCCCAGCCCCCGACCCCAGCCTCAGAAGGAACGCGGCACTGACACCACCTTGATTTGAGCCCATTGAGACTGATTTCGGACTTCGGGCTTCCAGGACTGTAAGACAGTCAGTTCATGTTGTTCCAAAGCCGCTGAGTCTGTGGTACTTGTTAGAGCAGCCACAGGAAACAAACAGCTGGAGCCAGGGGCCCAGGTCTGTGCCTTACCAGCCAGGACTTGGGCAGCTCACGCATGTTTTCTGGCCCAATGCCCTCATCTGAACTGGGCCTGAGTCCTGTCTGTCTGTCCCATGGGCTGCTAAGAATATTTCACGCCCTGGCTGGGGTGGCTCAGTTGGGCATCGATCCATGCACCAAGGGTTGCCAGTTCAATTCCCAACCAGGGAACATACCCCAGTTGCTCGCTCTCACATTGATGTTTCTCTCTCTCCCTCTCCCTTCCTTTCTCTCTAAAAAACAATAAAAAATCTTTAAAAAAAATAATATTTCACAAAACACCTCTGTAAATGGCAACTCTGCCCTTCTAGTTGCTCAAGACAAAAATGTGAAGTCACCCTGACTCCTTTCTTCTTCTCACTCCCCACATCTGACCCACCAGCAAAACCTGTTGGCTCCACTTCCAACCACGTCCAGACCTCAGTCAACCAGGTCTCCTCACCTCCTCCAGCTCCGCTCACCCGGGTGAGTTCAACCACCTCCTAACTGGTCTCCTGTTCCACTCTTGTGCTCCTCCCAGTAATTTCTCCTCTTTAACCACCCCCTGGGCTTTTCCAACATCAGTTGGAGCAGGTCACTCTTCTACCTCCAATGGTTCCTCTTTTGCTCAGAGTGAAAGTCAAAGTCCTTACAATGCCTGGCAAGACCCCATGACCTGGTCTCATTACCCTTCCAGTCACCCTCACTCACTCGGCTCCCAGCACACAGCCCTGCTCACTACCCCTCAGGCCCGCTCTGCCTCGGGGCCTTTGCCCTGGCTATTCCCTCTTTCTAGAATGTTCTTCCCCTAGACAGCCTAATAATATGTTCCCTCACTTCCTTCAGGGCTCTGCTCAAATGTCACCTTCCTGGAGATCCTCTCTGTGCACCACCCCATTAGCACATCCTCTCCCCGTGCCCCACTCCGGTTACCTTGTCACAAGATGTTTAATTGTTGTCTGGGCCTCTCTCCCTCCCCTTTGCTTATTGTGCTAGGCCTTGTATCCCGAGTGCCTGGAACAGTGCCCGGCAGGTCAGTGGCCCTCAATAAGTACTTATTAGACAAATGTGTAACACAAACAGCAAACTATACCATGCATAGGGCATCTCTGGATGTGTGGGTAACACACAGTAAATGTATCAGGACCTGTCCCATCTTAGAGCAGAGCGGCCCCTCCGTTCTCCGTGCAGAACGCAGCCGCCGCGGGAAAGGCAGAGGAACCCGCTGCCCTGGGCGGTAAGCGGCCCAGAGCGTGGGCATTAACTTGTATGTCTTTAATCGGAAACTCCTGGGCTTCCTGATGTTTCCAAGGTTGTTCAGAAACCCTTTGCCCTTCGGTGAAAGATAAACAAAAAATAAAATACGGTTTTGAATCCCAAACCTGAGCTCTCAGAGATTCCTGTGAAGTTCAGATTCCTAGATTGCCTGCTCTGCTTTGTAATTATAGCCTTATCACACGTTTCCTAAGTAATTTAGTGTATTTAGATTTATATATTACGTATGTATCATGTATTTCCATCCTACCTCCTGCGCTTACTAACTGGTCCATTTATTTTAAAATGTATTCCAGCCCTGGCCCGTGTGGCTCAGTGGGTGAGCACCGTCCGTGTACCGAAAGGCTGCCAGTGCGATGTTCCCCTCTTTCCCCCCCCCC